ACCGTGTGACGTGCATGCAAGCAGTTCAATCTAACTTGTAAATGAACATTCGGAATACATCAAGGAGGGCGCCGCCGTAAGTCCATCCTAACCAACCAAAAACCTAGTTCTCCTCAGTGTGGTCGGGGAGTGGGTCACAAACGAAAACACATCTTACTCACAAAAGCAGGTTGGACAGGAAACCGCATGCTAGCCAAAGAACTGCACGCTTAAGGTAGCTGATCTCTGGGTCACATGAGCACTGTTCACGCTAGCAACAACGTTGCACGCGCTCCATGCGGGCAATTGTCCAAATTGGGTACCCTTCTGGACAACTTTCAAAGGGACAAATTGAGCCAGCAACCAGCTTTTTGGTGTTTCAAAGTCATGCCAAAGATGGGGGTTCCATATCCAAGTTTGGGACGCAGTCACAGGCGTTAGGAATGTTAATGGGAAACGGATCACTTTGGTGGACATCATGAAAGCATTGGTGCAAAATTAGGAAACTTCACACAGCGGAATTAAGGAATCTCCCGACTGGAGAAGTCCCGCAGTTCGTTCCACCGGGTGGAGTCGCTCGGTAGATTTTGACGAGAATGAGTGTGTTGATGTTCTGCAGATTTGTAGGTTAGCCTCCAATCGAAATGGTTTTTATGTTAAACTTGAGGACCCCCCAGAAAAAATGATGTCTTTGTGTTGTTGTTTTTACAACCAACCAGAAGGGGGTTTCCCCCAAGAACAACACACCCAAAAGCACCCAACATTCAGATCGCAACCATGCAGCGGAGCCGCCGGCAAGCTGGGCCAAAATCTCGCCACCATAGGATCACACTCAGACATCGAGCTAAAGCCCGCCTGCGAGGCGGAAGGAAGCGAGCTACCCCCCCAAGTGACATGGGACTTGTTTGGCAAAACCAAACCATGTTCTAAGGGTGCAGGGATTATTTTAGGATATGTTTTTTTAAAACACTTTTTGGGTTCGTGGGGGGCTAACAACGTGTGTGCTTTACAGCATTTCCGGATAATTCTCAAGCATTTCTGGCAAGTCATTACCAGCATCCTGCAGCACCAGCAGAAGGAGTGCAGGCCTTGATTCCCTTGACAACAGCCCGAACACCTGTGTTTGGGTTGGTGCACCGTTATTTTTCCTGTTGAGTTGTGAGGTTGGGGCGTTGCACTGCAGTATCCCTCAGTGAGTCATGAAAGGGGGGTGTGTACCCCGATTTCAGTTGGTAGTGGAGGTCGAAAACCCGGATTGCTGGTTGGGCGGTTTTGGGGTGGTTTTCCACTTACCCTCAACAAGACCCAGAGGTTCAAACGCCCAAATCACCAACCCATTAAATAGCAAATAGGGGTTGCCCGGTCAGAACTGTTAAAACAAACAATGTGATAGCTTTCTTTAAAGTGTTGTCGTGGTCGGAGTGCACAGTTGGACCATTGGAAGGTTCCAATTTTTCCCCTGTCTAAGTCCTTCAACCTACAGGCAAGCGAAGGGGGCAACTAAGCTTCCAAGGATGTTTCAATAGCATGCTCTTCGGACAACACTCCCATTCTCGGACCACAGATTCAGATCAACACCCTTGCCCAAACAAACATGTAAGAGAATCTGTATATGTCTCTTGGAAGAACGGTTGATACCTCCATATTTATCTGTGGAGTAGTCGGTGTGCGCAAAGAATTGTTTTGCATCACCCTGGCCTTCAAAAGTGACTATTGCGAAGACTATTCCCAGGATCCATACCTTCGTGCCCGTCTTGCACAAGTGCCTGAGGGCCCTTATAGACATATTGGCAACTGCAGACGAAATAATCCTTGCTGGTTTATGGGAACGGTTTGAGAAACAAAATGGCGAATCCCAACAGAAAAAAGTCTGCATACCGTCGCGCAGGCGAACATGAAAGCAAGCTTTACAAGGACCCGCCTTGGATTAGACAGGTCTACGTGCAATGGCCTTCTGGGAGCTTCCAGGCTTGGGGCGTGCTCTTTCCCGGATGCCCGTTGAGGCCACCTGGAGTGACAGCCAGCGCCACGCCATCGGATCTTTGCTTCTTCCCTGCCTCATATCTACAGTGATCCGATATAAGCTGGGTAAAGATGACACCGAACACATAGAAGAGCAATATTAGCAGCACCAGTGTCCACACCAGTGACGCGATGCTGCTCATGATGGACAAGACCAAGGTGCGGAGGGCGCCAACGTACCTGACTGGTCCGGCCAAGCAACCGTTTTCCTGGCTAAAAGGACAAATGATGACTACCAAAAGACAACAGTAAAAAAAGGCAAAGCTAAGTCAGTGAAATCGCTTTTTGCTGGGTCTGCTTGTGGACAGAGGGAGTACTTACCCCACCATATTACCAAGCCTATCAGGTCAGATGGTCACAAAGCGGCGATTGTTTCATTCGAGCAATCCCCACCTAAGACATGTGCTTGGCTAAGCTAGGCTGGAACCACACAGGCACCAAAAAGTGAATTCGACTGCGCAAGGGGCCTCAAGCATGCTGCTCGCTGACGCGACGGGGAATCACCAAAGTTGAAGCAAGGCAGCGCTGACCCCCAACAATGGCAGTCTTAGCTGTTGCCGTAATCACGCTTCCTCTTTGGCGGGGATTCTCTTCATCAGAGCACTCCGTTTACTCGAGGGACCAGCCAAGCTCTTGCAAGGACACAGCATCTGCAGCCCCAAGATCCAACTGCATGGGCCGATAGCAGCTGAAAGTGTAGGCTCCGCTTGCTCGGCACGATTCAACATCCATAGAGTCAATCTTCCTCATCCTGGGTCATATTGTCAGTTCCTGCCTGACATGAAGGCCAAATTGCCACGGCTGCTGACATAGGCTCTGTCACCGCTGTCATGCGGCACCGGGTGGACGGGTCGGATGTCGCTTAAATTCTATTTTACTACCAGTGCTGCGTGAAAATACATAATTTCAACCATGATTCATCCCCGTTACCTGCGGGAACGTTTTTTTGCCTTTCCCGTGCGCTGGCAGTGTTTGGTCATTGTCACATTCGCTGCAGTATGGTTCACTACCCCAGTTCAGTGCCCGGGCTTAATCATGTTCGGGCTTTACAGTTTTTCTGAAGTTGCCAAACAAGGGGAAAGGGTGCCACTCAAAACTGGGTTGCCCGGCAAAAGAAGGGTAACGCCAACCTCCAGTGGTCGGACGGGGAAACCAGGGCTGTACAGTAGGTAACAAAGGGAACCGCCAATTTCACACCAAAAGGACAATGGGTGTCAAAAGGGTGCCCCTTTTTGGTGGTTTTGAAGGACAGCTAAAAGGGGTCCCCCAAAAGAGACGCACCCAAATGGCTGGTTACCTACCATACTGGCAACTGGTATCGAACGGGACGGCTTACACCCAGTTTTAATTTGGTCAACACATCCATGATCAGCATCTTGCACGAAATGAAGCACACATGCTTTTAAAGAACACGTATACCAGTGTTTCAAGAAACTGGGCAATGCGGGGACAACTTCAAACGGGCACCAACAAAGTCTACGAGCAGGAGCCCTTTGGTTTGAGGCATCAAAATCAACTGGAGACTGCGTTTGATCAGTTTGATCGAAAAAGATAATTTTGTCAACAAACCCTTTTTCGGTCCCGAGCGGGGGTTCTCACGCAGTTCCGTGGGAGGGCACCCTTCCCTCGCACTAGCATCAGGTGTTCAGTGCCAACGAAGGAAAAATAAAACAATATGGGTGCGGATAACAAAAACGAACAACTTCCTTTAAAAATCCCCAAAACAATATTACATTCAGCAAATGGACCCACCCACTCCAAAAAAACACAGGGAACCATGTTCATTTCAGCAAATGGTTGAGACTCTTTGTCTAAGACTTCGTTTGTTGGGCCGCCGCAGCAGCCGCACCAGCCGCATGCTGCGAAAAGCCCGCAGCAAGCGGACGGCGCGAATGACCCGCACCTGTGCCGTACTCACCTGGCGTCAGGGCGAGGGTAGGGGTTGCTGGAGAGGGTACTAGTTCTTTAAGGGGTTGCTGGGGGGTTACTAGCGGCTACTGGGGGGTACAAGGGTTCACTACCCCAGAAGACTGGCATGTCCACATTGAAACTTTATGGGGTGTATGCCCTGCTTTCCTCTTGCACATGGAAATCCCCTTGGCAGAGTCCCTTCTTGGGTGCCTCTCTGGATTCCTTCTCTTCTGGTTTCCCTTTCACCCACCCCAAGTTCAGAAACAATAAAGGTTCCTGTAGTCTTTACCATCAGCCTTTGTGCAAACAAAGGATATTGTTTGGTTGCCGCCGTGTGACCAAAAGTAGACAGTGCCAGTGAATCCCAGTGTGCGGGTGCCATCCTGCCTTGCAACCCAAACATGAGCGCCCAACGTCCATCGACTTTTGGTTCTGTTAAAATGGATATGAGTGAAGGTAAATATGTCCTTTACTCCAACGATCAGCAAACTGGTCTGGAAATCTCGACCACCAGATCAAGTCATATATGCCCAGGCCAGGCCAAATGTTCACCAGATCTTGTCAAATATTCATCAATGGTCAAATAGCTGCCAGATGTCCTCAATATCTCTCCAAATATGGAGATTGTTTGACTTGAACTGGTCAAGTGTTCGCTGGATGTTGTTCCAACGCACTTACCTACACTGGACGCTCAATTAAACCGATTGTCGGTCAACTCTTGCAAAGGCAAGCAACCAGGCCGGGTGACATGCTCCAGAGGTGCAAGCCGACCACCCACATGACTGTGCGTTATCCCTGTTCTTCACCGAACGGGCTGCCTCGAATGCGCTGAAAGACACAACGTTCCTGCAAGCATTCCTGGATCATGCTGCATTATTTCACTGACCCATGCATTCATTTCCAAAGCTCAATCGGAACCGTGTACGCTTGGCGGGTCTAGACTTGCTGGTAGTTGAGAATAACTTCAAATTGAGTACTTGTGGCAATGTTCGGTGTCTCCCCTAACCCTCAATCGTAGACATTGCCGGATCGGATGAAAGTGGAGTCAGAGATGCGGGGAGTCATGAAAGCTATTGAAAAGACACATATCACCAAACAGCTTTGACATTGCAGCTTGGTATGTGTCATGACCCCAAGGGATCAAAGAGCACAGGGAGTCGGTGCCCCTTGATTGCTTGGTTACAGCCCCCCCTTGGCTTAGAAAAGCACAACCTACCATCTGGAGGCGGGTCTGCTCGAAGAAGGTTCGGCCCCTTTGAAGCTATCCGGGAGCAGTCCGACCGTGGCCGGGCAAAAAAACAAAATACAGCTCAAAGAGCAAAACGGTCTGAAAGATAAGCTGAAGCCAAGTGGGCAGCGTTAGAGAGCGAGACAAATACAGATGTTTCGCCTGTTTCGCTCATGAAAGTGTAGCTATGCAGCTGACACCACTGCAATTACAAGGTGTTCCAGTGATCTCAAAACATACTTGAAGGGGCGGGTACGTAGTTAGTGGATGGTAAGCCTGGTCATAACCCAGCTAGGAGACTGATAACCATGGCAAGTAGGCTATACCCAGGCTTACCAATCACTTACCTGACGCACCCTGCCCCTTTAAGTACACACAGCGAGTTCCACCCCCGAAGGACTTTCTCAGCCTCTCGGGCTTGCCCTCGCCTGATTTGCGGTCTGCTGCCAAAGCTCGGCGGTTGTTTCCAGAATGGCAATGCCAATAATGACGAAATCCTCGGTGAAAAGCACATGCCTGCCCTTCCCTTGCCCCCCCCCCCACCCTCGGCCTTATTGAGCCCTGCAGTCCAAGACCCCCCACAAAAAGAAAAGAAACAACCACCTTCTCACAAAGCAGAGGGACACCCTCACTGCTTCTTTCATCCACCACGCGGTGCATAGCTCAACCGCCAGGCTGCAGCCCTGAATCACAGCGGGAAAAGCCAAGCGAAAATAGCCACGCATTGCGGCAAGTGATGAATCAGGAATAGAGGATCACAGAGGTACACATCCCAGTGGATCCACGCCTACAGTAGGAAACGTAGGACACCGTGATATAATTTCTAGACCAAAACTGATGGCTTCCTGCTGTAGTGGGTCACTGGACACAATGGGTATGACTGTGAGCAGGTCACACGTCTCCGACACCATGATCCCGAAAGGATCCACAACATGGCCAGACAAATCCGTCTGATTCAGCAGGCCTATGGCAAGGAGTGCATGGCTACCAAATAAAACGGTCAGATGGATGGGAGTCTGAATCAAACAATGGTCAGATATGCGGAAATGATGTTGTGTTGCATTGGGTAGCATTGCATTGCACAACGCTTCGTTTCGTCACACAGCGCTACATAGGCATCACTTGCATTGCATCACAACACTTCACGGCACATCCATCCATCATGCCGTCCGTCCATCCATGCATCCGTCCATCCGTCCATCCGTGCATCCGTGCATCCATCCATCCATCCATCCCTCCGTCCATGCGTTCCGTCCCGTCCCGTTCCGTCCCATCCCCTGCCATCCCATGATATCCCGTCCCATCCATTACTCGGAGGGTTCTCCAAAATGAAACCGATTCGTCAACAAGTAGATGCCTCTATTGAACAACCAGAAGGTTGCTAAACCCAATTCTTCACCAAGGCTCGAAGATATTCCACATCATGTTCGGGCCGCAAAAGAATCGCCTGGGGCAATCAACGCTGTCGCATCGCAATCAACTCAGGCTTTGCCAGAACAAGACATCTCCCAGCGCAGTGCTCAGCAATCCGATGTCAGCCACGACAAACACGAAACAAACTAAACACAAAGAACAACATCTCCGGTTGATGAGTCGTATGCTGCGCTCACGCCGTGAACATAGAAAATATATCGAGCGATCCGGTTACAACTGGTGACTCAATCGCGAGGATTTGTTGACTCGCTCGCGATTGCATACCGGTTTGCTCTACTTCGCAGACCTGACACTTGGAACGCAGGGTGCACTAGCCAATGAGGGGGTTGGGGATGCGGAGCCAACTCCCAACCGGGAAACACTTGGGGAGCCCTCTCCATACATCTTCCTTGTACCCACAAAGGAACATAGATATGGCCCTTTATTCGGATACGCTCCCCCTTTCATTACAAGTTGTTTTTAGGATACCCTTTTAGGTTGGTTGACAGCGAATCCAACAGGAACACCACATTTTTTGGGGGCTCGAAATCCCTGTTTTCACACATACACGCTTTAAGCGACTAAATAATAATAATGGGCTTGTGGGGTACCACTAGACTAAATAGTCTCAGGACCAGAAAAGACTATTCTGTGTACTGTAATTCTTTAGCCCCATATATGGTCGAAGTCCTTGTTTGACATCATACATGACTTTGGCGTGTCTCCAAATCGAAATCGCCCCACCCAAAAACAAGCGTTGGTTTCCTATTGTCTTCCCTTTGAATACCAAAGCCACGTGGGTCCAAACTCGTCTCTTGAGCCCAGCCTACATCCATGGGCCGCGAACATCAGCATCAACTCGGCCAAGAAAATGCCCACGGCCACGGCATTCAGCACGCCGAACCATGCCGGGACCTGCTCCTCGCTGTGTGGCCATGGGTCCCTCGTCTGTTGAGGGTAATGTTGATCCCCTATTAATCAATCCCACTCTATTTAGAGGGTGTCAACCTGGCTTTAGTGGGGAGGGGGGTTGATGAATATGGGGCGAACAGTACTCCTTGTTTGCCGTTGAAAAGGGAAAGGAAGGAAACCGAAACCCATTCGGGTAGCCAAACAAAGGCAAAGGGAACCCCACCCATCCTTTCTATGGTTGTCAAGGGTTCCCCAAGCCAAAAAATGATCCCCCAATCCCGATCGGAGCAAATAGGGCCCGAAGAGTAAGGTGCATTGCAGCAATTATGAGGCCCTTTCTGGGGACGTCGGGCCTGTGACAAGGAATCTAAGGTACACAAAAACCATATTGTTCCAGCTCTGTAGCATACTTGGTCTAAATATGGAATCGATTTGGAGGAGATGCCAGAAATATATGTGTGCGTTAAGGTGTTGGACCGCAGTATCCCGAAATGGTGGTCGTTGGTTTTCCTTGCATCCCTTTCAAAAGCGTTCAATTGGCTGCACATGCCTGTGCTGTCACATCGGTCACTTGACTCAATTGCTTCTTCACAGGCCCGCCTAAGCCTTGCGCCTGGACGGTGCCAGTCAAACATGAACGACCGGTCAATCTGCACAACCCCACCAAAAGGTTGGCCCACGACTCAAAACTCTGTCTTTGTCACACCTGGCATGTTGAGAACGTGTTGGAAGGTCCACCTGGGTATGGCGTTGACGACCTTTTAGGATTCTGAAGGAAAGTGGCATGGAAATAATCCCCTTTGGTGGTATACTATTTTGAGACACATGAAATCGTTGGAAGCCTTGAAATCGGTTGGGGCGCAGCCCTGTTTCAGAGGCACTTGAACAAGGCCTTTGCAACCCCTTTGATGAGTTAACTTACCCGCCCACCGCGTAGAAACATCCATCCGTCAAACTTGCCGGAATCAGCCCAAATTGGGTACTGGGGGTATGCGTATGTATAAATATATATGTATTTATATGTATATATTCACCCCTCTAGCTCCCAAAGCTTGGACTTGGACACCCATCTGGCACAGCAACCACACCCGAGTCCTGACCAATGGCTGCGGCCATGTCCACCTGCAAAAATACGTTCACGCTTTGTGCATCCATCCGAACTAACAAACCTATTGGTACCAAACACCATGTTGCTGTCTTTCTGTGAGGGGACCTGAACATCAGTTTGGCTTAACGCGAAGCCAAAAGGAACCCATGACTTTTGGGGGGTCTCCTCGTTTTGACACATACCAACAGTTTGAAGGAAAACCAACCAAGATGTACCGACATCTTACATTCAACCTGATTGAATTGAAAGGGTACCCAGCAGGAAGTGAACCACTGGAGAGGATAATACATGCATTGTCCCAAAATAGGCCCCAAAATGGGGTGGTTTCCTTTTGATTCCCCTTAAAGCCAACCCAAGAAAGGTTACCCTCAAAGCAAAGGACACTCCCAAGTGGACCCAAGAAACAAGCCTCCATAATCCTTTCGGTCGCACACCTCCTCGGTGTACAAGGCCGCGATAAACTTTGCGCAGAGTTGCTTCACATACCTGAAAGCATTTCATACATAGCTATATATATAAAGATTCATTCTGGCTTGCCTTTTGCCGCGCTGCAACACCAGATTTGTCTGATAAAAACTTGAAAAGCTAGATATGCAAACTAACCTGCCCAACCAAGGGAGCCCCAAGACCCCGGGGTCTTCCTGGCCAAGCCCAGGTAAGCCCCAGCCCCAGCCTTGACAATAGACTTTCCCCCTTTCTGACTGGCCAAGCCCAGTAACCCAAAGGGGGGTTAAGTCTGAGAGTCGGATTTCCCCTCGACTCGTTTAAAAATCACTGGCTGCCTCCATGCAGCATTTTGAAAAAGGTCGGATTACACCTCGACCCACTCTTTTCGGACTTTCATTCCGACTGTCATTCCCAGGGCGGGAGGGTGGGCTCATGAAGCCGAAATCTCGCGGACATGCAAACCGAATTCATCTTTAAACACCGGGACGTTATGTCAAAGATTCATTCTGGCTTGCCTTTTGCCGCGCTGCAAGACCAGATTTGTCTGATAAAAACTTGAAAAGCTAGATATGCAAACTAACCCTGCCCAACCAAGGGAGCCCCAAGACCCCGGGGTCTTCCTGGCCAAGCCCAGGTAAGCCCCAGCCCCAGCCTTGACAATAGACTTTCCCCCTTTCTGACTGGCCAAGCCCAGTAACCCAAAGGGGGGTTAAGTCTGAGAGTCGGATTTCCCCTCGACTCGTTTAAAAATCACTGGCTTCCTCCATGCAGCATTTTGAAAAAGGTCGGATTACACCTCGACCCACTCTTTTCGGACTTTCATCCCGACTGTCATTCCCAGGGCGGGAGGGTGGGCTCATGAAGCCGAAATCTCGCGGACATGCAAACCGAATTCATCTTTAAACACCGGGACGTTATGTCAAAGATTCATTCTGGCTTGCCTTTTTCCGCGCTGCAAGACCAGATTTGTCTGATAAAAACTTGAAAAGCTAGATATGCAAACTAACCCTGCCCAACCAAGGGAGTTTCAAGACCCGGGGTCTTCCTGGCCAAGCCCAGGTAAGCCCCAGCCCCAGCCTTGACAATAGACTTTCCCCCTTTCTGACTGGCCAAGCCCAGTAACCCAAAGGGGGGTTAAGTCTGAGAGTCGGATTTCCCCTCGACTCGTTTAAAAATCACTGGCTGCCTCCATGCAGCATTTTGAAAAAGGTCGGATTACACCTCGACCCACTCTTTTCGGACTTTCATTCCACGTCCCCCAGTCCTGCCGCAGGCTCGCTCAAGTTTCGGCAGTGGGGCTTTGACCGCCTTTACACACTGAGCACGAAATACCTTTACATCCCGATGCTTCGGGATTTTCAATTCGGCCAGGACCGCAAGTCCCTCATTCAAGTAGATTCTAGCGGTTTTCTGCGCCTGCCACCGTCCCTGGATTAAAATCTTGTCCAGGGAACCGTGTTTGCGGAACCAAAAGGTGGCACCCCCACGCCTCAAACTATATGGCCGGAAGCCAAACTCTTCCAAATGAAGATCGCACAGATACTGGGCGAAGGTCTTCCGCCAAGTGTGGGGCGCAGCACAGAGCCTAGGGCTAACAGAAACCGTCTCCTTCCATTGCACCAAACGGCGGATCACATCAGAAACGCCCACAGTGACGCTTTCAGCAGCACCTTGACGCTTTCCACCCTTTGTGAATCCTAACGAGATGACAGCAGGGGCAAGCCCGTGACCAGTAGACACGTGGGATTTCAGAATACCCAAAACCTCGCCAGTACGCAACATAGCGTAGAAACCCAGCAGAAGCGACAAAGCAAACAGTGGGTTCTTGCGAAACAAAGCCAGGCCGACTAAGGCATGAAGAATATCGTCTGGCAGGGGAGGCGCCCGATTGGGCATCTCGTTGGAAACCCAAGTCTTCATCAGGCGCCAACTCTGTTGCAGTTTGCCCCGAATCTGGGGTTGAGCATCCTGGAGACCTGCCAATGTGCCAGCAGCCAATGCACGGCCTTCACCTGTAGCCCACAGGTGCTCCAGATATTCTCCCACGACTGCATCCAGTGCAAGCTGTTCCTTGGGCAACGACTGCCCATTGTATTTGAGAAAAGTAAAAAACGCAGATAGAGCCCGATCATATCGGACTCGGGTGGCAGGAGTACGGTAATATGCTTCAGCGAGCCCAGTTGCTTACGAATTCTCACCCGCTCTTCTTTGGTCTTCCCTTCCACACACTTTGCCCCTACTTTACCCATTTTTCCGGACAATTCGACGACTTGGTCGGTCGGCCGGATTTTGAGAAGTGTGAACGTACGCCCACACTGGGAGATTGCGGGAAGCCAAAAGAAGGCAATTGATTCGGGTCAACGTGCGCCGAAGTTTGCGACTGCTAGTGCGCCCTCGAGCAAGTGAATGCATGCAAACCAAACTGTCGGTGAGGTGAATAAACTTTCCCCGGAAAACCCTTTGTTTTTCAACCCACCAACGGACACTAGTTAAAATGGCCCGCAGTTCAAGACAGTTTATATGTTCAGCATCTCCGGTCCAAGCCCAGCTCGCCACTGTCTTCCACCTCCAACACTGTGCTGGAATACTGGCACGTAAGCGATGGAACTTCAGCTGTTCTTCAGCGGAAGAGTGAACTAAAATGTCCTCGCCCTTGAGACTGACGTGGTTTATAAATTTCTTGGCCAGGGATAATTCTGAACTGCTGGATCCACGTTTGCGAGAAAAGAATAAGGGAGGTCGTTGCAAGAAGTTCAGAAAGCTGGAACCTGATCCGGGCTTAGTTGCCTCCACAGCTTGTGCAGGGCTCATCTGTTCAGACAATCCCAGGATGGACCCCAAACAGCTCAAGAGAAATGTAATAACCGTTACATTCCAGGAGTTGCCAACTAAGGTCAACCGCACGTCGTTCTTGTGCACCTCCGTGAATCCGGATTTGGGGAGACAACCTTCGGTATAGCATGATTGCCTCCCGCTCGCGAATGTTAGGAAGACGACGACTCCCAATCCTATCCATTAAACAGTGGCAGTCCCGATACTGATAGGGTGGAAAACGATAGGAGTCCTCTTCCTGCAGGTCTATGCCCAGGAAATGTCCGAGGCCGTGATGTGGTCAAAGTTGGCAACCTGTCAGATCCTCCCAAAAACCATCCTGACTCCAAATAGAGACTGGCCTCCAAATCCGAAGAAAGATCCACTTGAACAGGGTTCCCAGCAGTGACGGTGACATCCGCCATAGGAGGAATTTCCCAATCAAACCAATAAAGGCGAGGACGGTGTGCCAGGGATACCCGTGCAGCGTCGATCTTGATGGGCTCCAATCCAACGGAGCTTGTCATAATCAATTGATCCACGTTGTCCATAGAAGCCACAGACTCCATGAGCAGTTTAACTTGGCACCAGGGGAACGCATGTTTGACAAGTTCAAGGATTCGGGGAACATGGGTAAACAAACAGGACCGCTCATCCTTGAGAGCACCCCTCCTATCGGCGTTTAGCCCACTGACCCCTTGGCAAGGAGGCCCTGCACCAACGATAACTACACTTGCCTGGGAAAACTGAGTGGCCCAGCCTTTGACTACATTGTCATCAACGGTGGTCACATCCTCCCAAACCAGGGAGGAAGGAAACCGGGCCTCAACCACCCGCCTGGCCTCCGCGTTCTTCTCGACCGCGATGTGTCCCAGAATAGGCAGCTTCGCAGCCTCTGCAGCGACCCGCAAGGCACCGATCCCGTCAAACAACCCGATGGTTAATACACCACAAAAATGAACTGGCTCAGGAAGATCACCACGCTGGGGCATCCGGGAGGCCATCAAACCCCAGGGACTAACACCCTTACTCATGGTGATGCCTCCCCCCGTTGATGATGCATCACTGGCTGTGACAGTGCCATGAATCTCTGATCGAAAGTCAAAGTGGGCCAAAGGGATAAGCGCAATAAACCGGAGGATTTCCATTTTGACCATTGCCGGGAGGGGTAGCGAGCAACCTGCGACCCTCCCCTCAAATGATTTGATAAAAGCCCAAATATGGTTCAGCCCGGAGAGGAGAGGACGGCGGAACATAGTGATGTACACAAAACCCCCTCCCACAACCTGGGCTTGTCGTTGCGTACTGAAACCAGCACCAGCAAGCTGCAACCCCAGGTTAATATATTTTAACATTTTGTCAACCTTGGGATAGGCAATCCCCTTGCTTCCATCAAGAACAGCTCCCTGAACCTCGGCAACATGTTGAGAGGCCACACCTTTTTTGGGGTGCCTGGGGATCTTCCACCTGGAATACTCTTCTTGAAGGGCAAGAACTGTGGGAGTGAGCTCTCCCTTCAAAGTGGCCGCCAAACTCTTGTTGACCTTTGTGAGTTCATCAAAGTTGTCCAGGTAAATACGAAACATGCTGCCCACAGCAGGGAAAGGTCTGTCACGCCTCAACTCCTGTTCACCCCCCGAAAACCTTCCTGAGTTCAGTAGGGCTTGACGAAGTACGAAGCGATGTACATGTTGTGCGATGCTCACAGAGTTCTTGAATCCCATAGGGAGGACAACAGCAGCTAAATAGCAAGTGCCTGAAAAGCCCCGACAGAGCGACTTCGGCAAAGGTCGATTGAAGGCCATAAAACGATGCCACGACAGGGGTACCCTGAAGAGATAAAAGAAGCATCTGACGTCCTCACTGGAAACCAGGAGATCCTCATCAATGTCCAGGGAAAGCGGACCCATAGAACTCCAGGAGGGCAGCGTGGCGATGTCACCCGTGATCCCCCTACAAATGCGATTTAGGGGGATCAAGTTCATAATCAAACGGTGCACCTCGACGCTGCCCTCCCACTCACATTTGGATACCCCGAAAAGTCCATTCAATAAAGGCTGTCCTTGCACGTGAAAAACCTCGCTCTCCTCGATCACCTTGCAAATACCCCGTTCAATCAGTTTGGAAGCCAACAGATCCCAATCGTCAGGGGGCACCATCACCTTTGGTGCTTTGGTAAAAACTTGGTCTTCAACAGGAAGAAGGTACTCCTCGAAGTTCTCAACATAGTGCCTACACCCTGCATCACAAACCTGGGAGAGGGTGACCGTCCCCACTTCCAAGGGCAAAGCAGGGCCTACCATCTCCCAAGAAATAGACCGAGCGACCTTCACCTCTTCTCCTTGATAGTCGACTCCTTTGACCCTGAAAAAATCAGACCAGCCCAACTGCTCAGCGCACTCTTTCCATCCACCCGCGGCTGACGCCTGCTCCAGGAGACCCCCCAAAAGCGCTGTTGGCGGGGGTCCCCAAACCTTCTGCGCCAGAGACAGGGGACCCATTCAAATGGTTGAGTGACCACACCATGTTCCTGAGAATAATGAGGTCAACTTCCAATGATGATGGGAAAAGCTCTCTAAGGGAGTCAATAGCTGTAGGCAATGGAAAAACCATGCCCGTGGACTTGGTCAAGCAGCACTCATTCAAAGAAGATAACAGCGGTTCTCCCAACAGATAAGCTCCCTCACCAAAAGAAAGTCCCCCCATCTCCAACGCCCTCCTAAGACCCTTCGCCACAGGCCGGCCTGCAGGCGTCGAGCCTTTCACGCTGGTAGGAGCACAATTGGCTCCCTTCATGCATGGCAGTGTACTAATTCCATCTTGCTGGCTCTCGGATTCCACGGTCATCTCATCCCCGGGAGGCGCACCATCCTCCCCCAAATCTGAAGCTCCGTTGTCCAAAGGATCATCACCTAAGGCACTCCTCAACTGCTCACCACTCCTCACTTCTTCCCTCCTCCTTTGGCACCCTTCTCGTCCTTCCCCTTCTTTCCTTTTCCTTTGTCTCCTCGTCTTTTCCCATGCTCTTTCCACCCAGCTTCGGGGAGGGACCCCTCCCTGGGGGCACCTCCCTTGCCTCCAGGGCCTCCTTGACTGCAATTGCCGTCTCTGCCCTCGTCGCCACCTGCGCCACCTCGAGAGGACAAAGCTCCATCTTCTGGGCTGTCATCCAGGGCAAACCCTGGGCGATCTGCTCAAGGCTCTTCATCCGCTGCATTAGCAAATCCAGCGCTTCGGCGCCCCTCCCCTGAACCAGGAGGTCGGAGGCTACCGCCAAAGTAAACGCCTCCCTTGACATAGCCCCATGGAGCTTGTGCTGGAGCACTGCCCTGTAATAGTGTACCGAGATGGGGCCCAGCTCGTTGCTGTGCCCCCAGAGCTGTCCCGACGCTGCCACCAACGATCATCTCCAAGATTGCTGTAGCGGCCAGCACTCCGGGGCCTCTCACTCCCACCTTGCGGATTCGCTGGGCCTCCTCGAACACCCCTTCTTCTTCGTCCTCGCTGCTCTCCTCCCCTGAAGAGTCCTTGTCCGAGGACTCGAGCTGCTTCTGGAGGGCCTTCAAACTTCGCTTCACCTTCTTCACCACCGCCCGTCTCATCTTCGGATCGGGGTCCATACCTGTTTTTGCGAAAAGCACCCCTGGGTCCTTTGTAGCTTCCACCCTGAACCTCTTCTTTCCTTTCTTCTTCTTCTTCTTCTTCTTCCTCCTCCTGCTCTCCGAACTGCTGGTCACCGACGAAGGGCTCTTTTCTCTCTTTCTGACCTTGCCCTCCTTGATCACGCCCTCTACTGCTCCTCCTTTTCTGTTCAGCTCCTCCTCCTTGACCCTTAGGGCTGGCATCTCGTCGATCGCCTCGATCCCCACCAGGTTGTCGACCCAAGGCTCCTCGATCCCGGGGATCCGCAACTTCATCTTCAGGACGTGCACCAACCCGTCCTCGCACAAAGCCGCCTGGCACTCCGGCCCACAGAGGTGTAGCCGGCAACGGTTCCCAGACGCCCACTTCAGCAGCTCTGCTACTGTCCCGAAGCCGTCCTCCTCGATCTTCTCTATCACTCCGCATGCCGAAGCAGGAGCCTCCCAATAGACTCCCTCAGTGGCCACCACGCTTTGCCCTGGCCTCAGCAGATGCTTTGGGAGGTTTGCCACACTCAAGACCTCCCCCCTTTGAAACCGACCCTCAACTCCAAGCTCTTCGCTGGCTGCCGGTCTCCTCAGCACCGGAGGTACCTCCCCTCCCCTTGCAATTGCCGGCCTCCTCAACGGGAGGGCTCCTCTCGCCTTAGCTCTCGCTTTTGCCTTGGCCGCTGCCTTCGCTGCAGCGGCTCTGATCCTCAACTTGGGAGGCATCAAGAATGCCGACCTCCCTTACCTTTTCCTCCTCCTTTGCCTTTTCCACCAGGGTACCGCTCTCTATACCACCTTTGCTGCTCCCTCTTTACTGCCCTTGCTCTTTCCTCTGCGCTCCTCACCTCGGCTGGGTGGAGCAGCAAATCCCTAATGAACCCTCCGGGATTCCTCCTGATTGGAGACCTACTCCTGCTTCTCCTATCCACCTCCGACAACTCTTCACCTGAGCTCTCTTCTCCCTCAGCACGAACCTCACCACCAGTCTCTCCTCTTTCCACTGCACCCTCACTAGGCCTCCTAAACCGCTTCTGTGGCACAAGATCTTTCTCTCTCTCTCCTCTGCAGCCTCAGCTCCCGACGAAATGGGAGAGGTGGGCGTCCTCTCCCTTCTCCTCACAAAACCCGCACGATCCTCCTCCTTCTCAGCTCCTTCTCCTCGAACTCCAGAAGAGCCACCTACTTGCACCCAGGGAGGATCCTCTCCTCTCTCCTTCGGTTCCTTTCCTCCCAAACAAGCCTTCTCCTCCGGCAGCTCTTCACCCCCGCTCCTCGATGACCTTGACCGCTTCCTCCTCTCCTCTTTCTCCTTCTTCTCCTCCCTTTTTCTCCTCTTCTTCTCCTCCTTCTTTTCCCTCCTTTCTACCTCCTCTCTCTTGCCAGCCTCTTCTCTTTCTTGGGAGGAGGGGGGACCTGCCAAATCCCCCCCCTCCCCAGGAGCTCCTGCTCCTCCTGGAGGGGACCCGGCGGCAAGCCCACCTCCCTTCCCTCCCTCACAGGGAGGCCCCGAGGGAGCAGCCTGAGCCGAAGCCCACTGCTCCCTATCCCGAAGGTCAAGTAACTCCCCTTGAAGGAGTCTGACCTTTTCAAGGGCCCGGAACCAAAAAGAAAGGGAACCGGACCCCAAACAAAGATCCTTAACCCTAGCTAGGCTAATACACAAGTCACAGGGGCACACGCCTACGGAGGCGTGACCCACTATGCTCATGAAGCCGAAATCTCGCGGACATGCAAACCGAATTCATCTTTAAACACCGGGACGTTATGTCATATACAATGCGAATGTGGCTGTGCATATTTGAGACCTGTTCATTTTCAAACAGCATGATCAACCACACCCATCTCACACAGCCAGCGGTTTGTCGGCCGCTTGTCAGACACTTTTCGTGCAAATCTATTTTCTGGGAAACATGTAGGGGCCCCTCTTCCACAAAAAAAAAACCTACAACGGAAACATGTCCTGGGAGGGGCCCTTGTTGGGGCCCCTCAAAATCGGAAGGGTGTTGGCGCTCAAGTCTGCCATCTCCGCATGACGCCTACTGCTGCGCTCGACAGATGTATACATTGTCATATTGAGTTTATGCACAGCTGAAGTCATCGAGTTGACTCCGCATCGTTCGCGTGGCAAGTTCTTACTCATACTTCTACTGCAGCACCATCAAGCTAGCAAGCCAAATAGTCTGACAGCCAGCTAGCCAGTCAGCTGGCAAGCGTGTGCATGAGAAAGCGGGCAAGCGAATCGCCTCAAAGCCCAAGAGGACCATGTTGATAATGATCACTACGCTGATGAAGTACACGAATCTGGGAATCCATCCACAGGCTAGCAAGGCCACATTCAATTGCAGTAGGCGACCAAGAGCAACTTCCCAGTAGCAATCAAGCTTGCTTACTACATGCTCCAGGCGAGACGCTTTGTTTGGTTACCGAGGCCACTCCAATCACAAACTACACATAAAGCGCTGGCTGAAAGGGACCAAGCATGCCAACTGGAAGGAGCCATCAAGCTTGGTTCCCTACTATTAGGAAGCTGCTAAGCGCAAAAGCTTCACCGTCTGTTTCTTCAAACCAGGTAAGATCGATTTAGCTTCGGCAGTATTCAACGGTTCATCTTCGGTTCGTACAGTGGATTCCCTAAATATTGCAGGGAAACCGGAAACTCCATAGCTTATCGCAAGTTACCCTTCTGTGGCTGAGTGTGGTTGGTTTACTTGCAACTGGAGGCATGAAAGCTCACTCCGACGCACGCTGGCTTCCGCCCTTGGAGCCGCAAGAAACACACTCGACCATTACATGCGATGAACCAAGGGGATTCAGGGGATCCTACGGGTTGGAGAGCAGCCCAACGGATTGGAGTCAATGGTTCTGCGGTCTACTTCCATCGACTTGAGTACATCCAACAGGTCTCGCAAGCATTCCAGCCTGAGTGATCTCCAAGGTTTCAGAACAGACCCTTCCACCAATCCGGAGGTTTCAATTTTTGTATGTGTGTTCTGTCTTCTGTCTTCGATGCAACTGCACCTTGCTTCAAAACACACCGAGCTGAACAACAAATTGAGTTGCAACCAGCCCAAAAGGTGGGTCAGAACAAATAGGGTGTTGATTCCCTCTGCGCGTTTTTTCTCCACCAAGCGAGGGATTTGAGTGTCTGCACCAGGTCCCTCTTCCAGCTCCAGCGATGGTAGCCCTGGTAGAAAAATGGCATTGCCTTTCTTTGCCATGTGTTTCTCAAAACAGGAATCGGTCCCCGCCAATGGCGGCTTTACTGGTGGTCCCGTCAAACAAAAAAAACAAAAGGAGGTTCCACCTTTTAGAGAACCTCTCATTTCTACTAGGCAACCGTTTCGGCGAAACTGAGGATGAGACTTCGGTCATGGGGGGGAGGTCCTCTGTCGGAGGGCACCGCTTTTCGTGGTTTTAAGGGGACATCCGGAGGAACACCGAAGCCGATTTAAAAAAGACGACAGACCCATTTGGGCTGTGACTGCCAGGCGGCGCAGACGAAGAAATGATCTTGCTGGCCCAATTTGGAGGAATTTGGACCTGGAATCCTCTTGGGTTCACGCTGCTCAGCTTCTGCTCAGTCCTAGGCTGCGACACAACTTGGTGTTGAAAGAAGGGAAACTTGGTGTTACGCATCAACTTACAAAAATACAAATCAACCTACAAAAATGTGGCTCTCCGCCACAAGAACCAACTTCTCACAACAAACAAACGGGAGAGTCCAATTAAAGTAGAGCCCGAAAAGCGGTTTTCCCACACGGGGCTTTTCTCTAGCGATGGGTTTCCGAGCTTTTGCCCGCTGGCGCCTGACGCTTCGGGGGCTGTTCAAAAGAAAAGTGCTACTCCAGCTGCGGCGCCTGGAGGAAGAGTAACATGAGGGGTTACGTTTCAGTAGGTTTTTTCTAAGGTCAAAACTGGGGTAACTGGAGTTGGTCCCCTTATAACCATGAATATACCCTTCTTACGAGGTCTGATGAACATCCGAGTAGTAAAATGGGACATATCGCCCCTTTTTGCAAAGATCCAAAAAAAGCCCTGGCTATCGGGCCATTTGTATGTTCAACTTTCTATAAGGGGCTACCTAATCACTGACATCGCGCGCCTAGCGTGGCTGAACTGACCTGTTTGTCCCCCAAAACCCAGTTCTCGTGATTGACGTCCTCAAAGGAGATCCTGAAAGGTCTCTGAGGATGCAGGCGCAGCCAGCACGTCCACCATGTTTAAACTGGTTCATTGAATCTCCAACTTTCAACGAGCACATTTGTGCCCCGTGGTGATATAGCACTGCTAATCCACAGCGGCAAAAACAAGAACCCAGCCTGTGGCCAGTTGCTTTATGAAGGCTACACCAGCTGCTTCACAAACGCATACGTAGCGTTTGTATACTAGCCACTGCAACCAGCGGACACAAAAATAAGCGTGAGCAAACCTGCGAAAAATCTCAATCAAACCAAACGCGGCCCTAGCACAAAAAGACGTTCAACACTTGTTAAGCAATGAAGGGGCTCGTCAATCAGGGAACCCCAAAGACCATCCCATGAGTGTCTCTTAAAATAAGGCACCACCAAAGCGATGGATATTCCGTCATTTGCCCGTGAAACAGCCCAGTTACCCTCAACCAAACACACGCCCACATTTTTTGTTAGCATGAAGGGGGGTACTTGTTCATTTGGTGCAGGCCTTACCACTCTTTGGCCCACGAGGGCTGAGTGTCTTTCGGTTCCAAGGCTCACACGGCGCGCAACTTCGGTTGCTGCCTCCGTCTGTCGATTCATTGCCTGGTCCAAGCAAGCGACACTGCAAACATACGTTCGCCACTTCATGAACAACACACACATACCACATCTGTATATACGTATACATGTATATATGTTTATTTATGTATTTGTTGATCTATTTATTTATGCGTCAATGAAATATGTGTATCTATTTATGTATATATATGTATATGCTTTTTTTATGTTTTTTTTTGTTATATACTTATTTATATATTTGTTCATCGGCTTACTTGTTGAGTGATTCACTTGCTGCTTCATTGATCTAATTTAATTGTCTATGTACATTGTACGTCTCAAACTAATGACCCTCCTCCTTTTCCACAGTTTCAAAGTGAAGCCAACACAGAACCAGCTTTCAGGGGTTGCTTCCTACAACATTTCAGGCATCCCCGACGAGGATGTGCCTCTGCGAGTGCTAGCAATGCCGGAGAAGTCTTTTCATCCAAGGAATGCTCTTGAGTCCTGGCTGTGCAACAAGTGGGACCTGTCCAAAAGGTGGACCTCTTTTTTGGCTGGACATTAAAGGGGCGAGAATACACGACCTTGGCCACTCCAGGCCTCTTTTATCAAGAACTCCAACACACGTTGGCTGTTGCCCGGGTTTTCTCATCCACGATGAAGGTCCTGACTTGGCAATTCCTCAATGTCAGTTTCTTCCAAAAGTGATCCGGGGTGAACAACCCTATTCATCAACCCAAAAGTGCATCCCAATCAATTGTTTTGAGGGATCGACCTAGGGCTCATTCATCCCCCAGTTCTTGTTGCTTGCTTTGCCTCGAAAGGGGAAGTCAACAAGGCTCCTCACGCGACCACATTGTTTGTTTTTGTCCAGTGCATTGGCCAACAAAAGTACACAAACTGGAAAAGCAAGTTCTTGACTGGAATGTCTAAATAGGTGACCCCCTAATGTTCGCCCTGTCAGTTTCCGGCTTCCAGTGAAACCGGAAACTCCCATTGATATACACATGCTCAGTTATCTCTATTCTGAACTCATAACCAGGGGAAACGGTCGTTAATTGAACATAATGGTTGCAAAGAATGAAAGAGAAATCAACCTCCAGAACAAGCGCTGTGAAGAAGCCAAAAGGAGAACCATTGTTATAGCCCGACTCCTTATTTCTCTGGCGCCTGGGTCACAAAGGTGTCCATCGAGCCGGTACCCCAAATGGGGGTAGGCGATGCGAGCAGCGAGTTGCTCTTGGACGCGAGTGTCTGAAACTCCTCCCCGTTTTCACAGGGCGTTGGGGCCGAGTCTCATCGAAAGGGCGGTGCATTCTAATCGGCCCAAACGAAAGTGGACATCAAATTTAGGCCGGGGTTCATTGTAATTACCAAGCCATTGGGTGGCTCCCCAACAACAAAAATCATGGCCAAATGGGTGTTGCTTTTCGGAGGGTAACCAACGGTTGGGTTCATTTAAAGAGCAATCAAAGGGAAAACACAAATTATCCTTAATTCGAGGCAACAAGGAAAACTAACTTTTCCAAAGGACTTGAAACCAAAGCGACCTTTTGGGATCTTGGCTATGAACCAAAGGGAGTCAAAATGTCAAAAGGCCGGTAGACAAGTAGGAAAACCACTGAAGGCTTCAGGAGTGAGTTTCAACAACACTCTTTAGAAGGGCTCGCATCTGCTCCAAATACCCTACTGCTTTAAAGGCAAAATGTCAACTCACAACTAAAACAGGACAGCGGACAGGCTGTACCCTTTCATCGCAAAAGTATTTTGGAGGGGGTCTGATTCATGGATATGGTCTATAGTCCTTGTAGTAGTTCGTTCGTATCAAAATCGGATTCTCTTTTGAGAGTTTAATCATACTGAGGCCGTGGGTAGCCGATTTTATGCCACGCAGGTTTCAAGAGGTGTGTTTATTCCGCTTGTAGCAAAATGATTGGGGAAGGCTCCCGTAAGACGCGACTTCCATGACCGGGCATCCAAGTGGCTAGGATGTTGAAAATCACCTAGCCCTAGCCAAAAACGGCACGTTTGGAATGTGTTTATGTCTAGTTGAGCTCATTGTCTCAGCTCAGGCTGACTTGGACTGAGCAACGACCTTTAAACAAAACTTGCTGACGTCGCACTGGAAGCCCGATTTTGATGGTTTGCCTGAAACGGTGACCTTCCATCAAGGCTCGTAGGGGCTTTCTGTGATGCATTGTGGGGGGAGCTCCATTCCCTGTCCTTTGCCTCTGAAAACACAATTTGCTTGGTTTCACAGACAGTTGCCCTACAAGAGAATTCCCCATGGCCGCCCCTTTTGTTCAGGAGTGCTTATCCAAAGCTTGTTTGTTTTGTTTGTTTTTTCTGGTTCATTTTCAGGGTGGGTTTCGGGTTGGTTTTGGGCGGGTTTATGGGCGTTGTTACATAGTGGGTTTAGGGTGGGTTTGGGGTGCTTTAGGTTGGGGTTTAGAGTGGGTTTGGCATGGGTTTCGGGTCGTTTGGGCTTGGTTTAGCGTGGGTTCAGGTTGGGTTTAGGGATGGTTTATGGTGAAACTGTGTGTGAAGCAGGTGTTTAGTGTGGGTTTGAGCTTTTTGCTTGCTGGAAGGGTGGAGGCGGAAAACAAATCCTGCAGAATAAACAATCCTGAAGCAATACAGAACCGATGCCTCCGGCAAAAACAATGAAATCCACATCCACGCATCACCAGACTTGCCATGCAACATCTATCTAAAATGCCAACACAGGCAGCCAGAAAGCTAAAAGGGAGAATTGAACACACCCCAGCAAATGCTTGTGCTTTCGGAGTGCCCAGTCTAACTTGCATGTCCAAACAAGTATTATGCAATTGTTTTACTACTTAAGCTGCCCTTCGGCATCTCTACCCTTCCGCGTCTCTTCTGCGCAGTGGGATGGTTATGCCACCGCTTGGAAATTTGTGAACTAAACGGTATATGGGTTTTGGGACGACTCCATCAAATATGACGTGCTGCTTGTCCGCGTACAAAGGCAACGCTTCAGTCGCCAGGCCCTGGGAACCCAACTGTGAAACCGAAAAAGTGAGTTGCTCCAAATTCCGCAGCACGAGGGTAGACATCGGATCGGAAAAGGCGAGTCGGAAAACTGTCGACCCATGTACCCTTGTGATTTGATCAGGATCGCAGATGGAACGATCAAGCAGCACCCACCCGACCTTTGGTTCTAAGATGTGTATGAAGGCCTACTTAAAAGGGCAGTGTACTTAGTAAGTGGTTACGAAACCTGGCTATAATCCGCTTAGGATAGTTACAACCATGGTATGTCGGTTTTTACCAGGCTTTCTAGTCACTTGCCTGACGTACCTGCCTTTAAGTAGGCCTTATCCAACCCCCTTGTGAACTGGCTAACGCGTTCGTACGAAGCCCATCGAAAGCCAATCCTGTGGGCTCATACTGACCGCCGGCGTTTCCTGCTCGCTGATCTGCGAGCCTGGAGAAAAACATGAGCCAACTCACCTGAAGACTTGGGCCATAACATGGCATTGATTGCAAGCAGAGGTGTATAGGCAAATGTGCTGCCATGTACACATCTATGTGTACATACATATATATATATATATATATATATGCACTCTCACTTGCCCTGATCCAACGCCCGAAACAAACACCAAGGAAACCATTCAACAACAAAAAACAACAGAAATACAAAAACAAAACAAACAGACATGCCACAGACTTGTGGCTGCACTGGCACCAGAGAACAAACACAGAAGCATCCTCAAAACACAGCAACACAAATGATCAGGACAAAAAAGAAAGAAGTGCTACTTGTGGCACACGGCTCTCATGTTTGATCTGCTCAGTTTTTTTCTGCCTCTCTTGAACTTTTGTTACTTTGTTCCTGGCTGTTTGGTCCCCTCTCGAGGTACTTTGGTGTTTTTGCTTACCTTTCTGTTTCTGAAGTTTCTGGTTCCTTGATGGTTTATTTTCTCGAGCAGTTTTCTGGTTGCCTGGTTTTGACAGTTGTCTTTGGCTTTCTATGTTTCTTCACAAATCAGTTCAAATAAGAACAGATAACTCCTACTGTAAAGTTGAAATATAGCTAGCACCTAGGGTCAACATGATACGGTCGGCAATTCGCTATAGCAAATGGAACTAGGTGTGCCTTGGACATTGACATATCAAATATATGCCGTCTAGTGTTGTATGGCCTGATTGGCGACAAGCTCACGCAGCCCGTATTCAAAGAATAGTAGCGAGTTCTGGTACGAAATCCTCAAAACATTTGATTGAATCAAAGATACCTCAGCTGGCATGAGCATGCTATTATGAGGCTTCTAAGAGGGCTGGGCTTCTAAGAGCCCTAGCGAGGCCCAGAAATCAAATCCTGAATCCGGCTCAACCCTGATCTTCCTTGCTCGCACTCAGTCCTTTGCTTGTCTTTGTAAGGCTCCCTAAGCTTCCCTAAAGCGCCCTAAGCTTCCCCAAGGCTCCCTAAGCTTCTACAAGCCCTCCCCAACTGCATTCTCGCTGAGTTCTGGGTTGGCCAGCAGCTTGCGCAGCTGTGACTTGCGCAGGGCTAAAGCCATCCTTTAGACCAACCCAACCTAGCCACCCAAGCCAAAGCGGAAGCGGGGGACATTACGGAAACCTAAGAATGGTGAAGCGAGCTTGTAATCGCAGCTTTCATAGCCTCCCACAATTCAAGATTTTCCCGAAGAACCCAAAAAATGCCAATACTAAATTCAAATTAGGCCAATACTAAAGTTAATTACTGCTCACTATCCACGCATTCCCAACTCCAAAGCTTCAAATCCAAACCCCAAACTTCACCAGCATCAAAACTTGCAACCCCATGTGCTCAGCTTGTACAGAAACCTGAGACTTTTCATCCGTGCATGGCCTTCTGCGCAGCAAGGCCCAGAAAGTGGCGACCCCCTACAATAACAGCATTACCCAAACTATGCTGGAAACTCGCCCCAAACAAAACTAAACCAAATTGAAACTCACCTGGTCAATCAACTTCAAGGAACTCCACTTGATCTTGCCACATTAATGAACACCCCCCCACAATTACAGAAATGTTTTCCTAAGTTGGAAAAAACAAAAGCAATAGGCCCGAATACTAAATCAATTGAAGCTCCTTTCTGAAAGATCCAGACCCGGAGCCCAAAGATGCTTGCCCAAGCCAAGCCCCCCCCCACCCTAGAATTCTAGACCAGGAACAATAAATAATAATCCGGGAGGGGGGGGGGGAACACCCTGATTAATCAAAAGCGGCGATTAATTTCCTTACGGGTTTCCAACTACACCTCCCTTACACCCCCTTCAGCTGTTAGTCCTGATATGGAACCTAGGATGACTCCGTATAATGCGTTTTCGAAGTGCATGCTTGTGTTTGTCACAAGGCAAGATTATACAGGAATTACAAATGCCTCTGCACTGCTTACAACATGTTCAGTGCCATATCGGCAACATCTTCAGGCAACAAAGCTGGACTATTAGCCCGTAACATGTACGCGTCTGCCTACTGGGAACGTCACTGGTCGCCTATGTACGGTTTGCAATCTTGCAGAAACTCACTGTGGGGGCTGGAGGGGGTTTGCGTTGATGACGGATTGCGGAAGATGCGTGGTTGAAAGCCCCTGTGATCCAGTGTTCCCGAGGTCCCGTAGTGCCCCTCGCAAAACGCGGAGAAATAGGGAAGAGGTACAAGAGTGCAGCTGACGCTGAGGGTTTGGCATAAAGGTATTGCACCCATTTGGTGAACAGCGTCGCCGACATCCACAGTGAAAGCGCATTCCTTGAAAGCCTATTTGCACTTTTTGGGTTTCCCCTGCCACGGGTGAAACACAGCCCTGAAACCTGCCACGTTTGATGAGAGCGCAGTGCGCAAACAGAAGTTTGCAAAGCTTGAAGAAATGTTGATGTCGTAGGTCAGTAGAAAGCCCACGGTTCACGGGCTGTATCTCCGACTTTCAAATTAAGACTATATTTCGTCGGAAAAAGGCACTGAAGACGGCCAATAAGTTCCTCTCATGCATCGTGAACGTTGTTCAGGCCAAACAGTTCTCCAGAGACCTCAAACACGCCTTTTGTAAGTTCCGTTGGAGAATAGATTGATGATTGCGCTGGGCTCGCAGGCGACTCCTGCGCTTGTGACCTACTAGTTACTAGTTCTAAACTTGATCTGCAAAATTGGAGTACAGCATTGTAGACTCACCGCATAATTATGCCTGTACAAGATTGGGAGAGAGCTCACAATTGTTGATAAGCAAGCTGTAAACTGTCCAGAGTAAGCACAACGCTTTGCAACTACGAACTCAACTTTAGTACGGTCATCATACACGTGGTCAATCTTCAGCACAGGACCTTCCACAAAATACATGTGTAAGTAGTACCCTATCTGTCCTGCAACGAGCAAAAAGCAAGTAGCATAGCATGACGCGACCTAGCATGGTTGATGGCAACCAACATATCTCTGTAGCTCTCAACTTCAAGTTGTAATTTAGGTTTGTGCTAGACCCAAATGATGATTGCACGCTTGTGCAATAGAAATGCACATAACACTAGCAATGACAGTGCAAACTGTATAGTGAGAAGGGTAATGGACATAATGCAAGTGTGTGGGTCAAGCAAGATGCAAACCAGTTGGCAGGTGGATCTATGGGAGAGCTAGCATGTGTAGCTGTGGTTCCTCCAAAATCCTCCAGAGACCTACATTCGTGGGCAACATGACCAAATCATTATCAGGTTCCCCATGAGTATACATTGGCTCTGGGATGGGTATAGGCGAAAATCTGAAAAAGTGGCAATGGGTTTAGGTGCAGAACCGCCCGAGGCAGATCCGTCGGCAAATTCAGACTAATGTTGACCCATAACTATTGATATGGTGGTGTTCCCCTCCAAAAGTGATAAACCCCCACTAAAATCAGGCATAGCCCACATTAGCAAACTGGGGTTTATTAATCCGGGGTCAACATTAAGATTCACTATGAAAGACATGGATGTTGTGTGCCGCCCAGGTCGTTGCGGGATAAAAGGTTGAGCCCCCCATTTGCTTCCGAGGAGAGTGTCAGTTGCCTCAGCAGAGGGGCTTGTTTTGTTTGCGGCCTGGCAGAGGGTTTGTCAAATAATGTCAAGTCGATCCATTTTATTTTCCGTCAAGCGAAGCTGATTCCGTCGTTCTTTTGGAAGGTATCAGATTCACCTTGGGGTCCAAGCCCGTACTTAAGCAAATGCAGCCACTGGTGAAGTCACCTCAATTCACGTGCCGGTGAAAGCAATCTGACGGATTTGTTGAGAGTGCTGGATGGCTTTCTGTGTGTAGAGCATAAATGAAATGATAGCTACTACGCATCACGGTAAATTTCAGATGGTACGTTGTATATTTCTAGATATATATATATATATATTCTTAGACACGTATACATATATTAGTATACCAAACTGGAACAAGTTCTGGACCAAATGGCATGTTTTCCCAAGAGGTCATGATCAAATTCCGTTGCCCTGCGGGTTTCTGTAGGGAATGGGGGCTGCCTTCCCCAGACCCACAGTAGACTACCTCCCATGTCAGATGTGGGCGCCAAGCAGCGGTCATCCCCAAGCTCGCTCTCGACCCTTTCGAGCGGCTGGAAATTGCTCCGCTTTGGGCTGCCTTAGGGCTAGACATTCGGGCAGTAAGGGCACACTGCGGGTCTTACATGCCCTGCTTGTGCGGGGTTTCAAACGGAACATGTACTAGTTCCTTGATGGGTTATTGATGGGTTAACCAAAAACAGCTGTCAGTCCACAATCCGCCAACCCTGTGCCTCCCGTCCCAGCGTGGGATGCAACTGGAATGAAGTGATTGGAATCCATGACCTGACTGGTCTCGCGACCCAGACTGGCAGGTCCAGGACCGGTGCGACCGGACTGGTGTCGGATCCCACTTTAAATCGCTACATCCTGCACTATGTCGATTCAAACTGGCACCCAAAAACCTGTTTCCGGACTGGCACCCGTGTTCAGGACCGGTCCTGGGATCAGGTGCCTCGGAGGACTGACGGGCTTGTTTCTAGGACCTCTCCCGGGCCAACTCAAAGTGACTCGGGCTGACATCTTTCTGAATCCGTTCCTAGGACCACTACCGGGCGGGAGCCTGGTCAATCCGGGCGTGCTTTCCGGTTCCCCTGAAACCGACGAAGCGCCCCCTGCCGCCGACCCATCCATGGCGGACATTGATGCGGATAATGCCGGGGGATCCATCGCGAATAATGCCGGTGATGCGGGGGATGCTGGGGATGTTGTCCCCTAAGTCGGGCCAATTTGGCCAAACACGTGGAAAACCACAGTGTTTTTGAAGGTTTTGGGTGGGTGTAAACGTGGAAAATATGGAAACCTGCTTAGCAGGCAGGCTTCAACGGTCCTGGCCGAACTCGATTTTTTGCAGGAGTTTCGGTGAACCCAACAAAAACACTGTGTTTTCGATAGTTTTGTACGGATTCTAGGCCGGGCGCACACGTGGAAAATGTGGAAACCTGCTTAGCAGGCAGGGCTCAACTCTCCCCGGCCGAGCCCGATTCCTGGCAGGGTTTTCGGTGAACAAGTAGAAAAAACCACGTGTTTTTGATGCATTCAAGGACGCGTTGTTGCGAAAATCATGAAGACACGTGGAAAATTCATGCTTTTAGTGGCGTTTCTGGAAGGTGCTTCGAACTTGCTGGCAGACCCTGCGTTTTCCCATGCTTTTTGGTGGGCGCGAACGCAGAAGATGTGGACACCTGCTTAACAGTCGGCCTTCACCGGTCTCTTGCAAAACACGTGGTTTTTACGTGGTCGGGGATGAACACTTCGCATCTCCCGGCACCTGGCTGTCAGGCGTAAGCCCTTAAATCCGGCTACGCCTCCTGGGGTAGCATGTCGCCGCTAAGCAATTAGCCTGCTGGTTCGCCAGTTGGTCGTGATGCGCTGCCTAAATCCGGCACCTCTGCATCACCAGCTCGGGCTTGCGGTTTTGCTTGCCTGTGGGAAACCCTCGCAAAACATCGCGTATACGCAGGGTTCAGGGCATGTGGCCGACGTCATCAGGGTCTGGGCCTCGCTGATGGCTTGGTCTGCATCATCAAGACTTCCTTCCAAAAAGCCTCTCAACCCATAAAGCACTGCTTTTAGAAGGTATCGGAGGGATAGAAGCGAGGCTCATTTTCGCGCATTTTGGCGCCAAGCGCTGCCGGGCATGCCGGCGATGCTCTACAAAACGCTGTAAATACCGTCAAAAACTGCTGTGCTGAGCGGTGGGCTGCTGTTCTGTCAGTTTTGCTTTTGCTGGCTCGCGTGCTGCGCGGTCCTTGCTTTTTTCCCGTTGGTTTTCGGGCCTTCTGGCGCGTGCGCGACCCCAGCCACAAAACGCTGCTATTTACGGTGTTTTGTTGCACTTGCGTTTCCGGGCTGGCTTGCGGGCTGCTCTTTTTGGGCTGCTCTTTCGGGCCTCTGGCGCGCGCGACTTCTGGGTTGGGCTGGGGCCCAGAAGGCTGGCATCCCCGGCATCATCTGGGGTTGGGGTGGGCAACATGCATAACCTAACCAGCCATATCATAGCACAGGATACGTTTCTCATACAAAAAACATGACATGACATGGTATAACTTCAAAGAGGCGTAGCCGGCTAGAGGCCGCAGGCCCAGAAAAATATGGGTGTCCTTTTTGGAGAACCCGGTTTCGACAAATGTGGATGGGAAACCAAAAGGAAAGCACCCATGAGACAGCCTTCTAGTATGAACCACTGTCAAAGGACAAATGACATGGGAAAACGAGTCAGTCTTGCAGAAAAGGCTTACTTGACAGGACTCCTTATACCCTGGTCAAAAAACCAAGCAAGGCGTCGATGGGAGAAATCACGTGAGCCACGTGCCTACGGGTTCTGTAATCCTGTGCTCCTGGTATGCCGTTTCTGTACATATTTGTGCCTGAGGTTTTGAGGGGTCAGAATGACCATGGCTCATGTTACCCTTTCTGTCATAGAAATGGGCGTGTCTCTAATTCCCCCCCACCCCCCACCCAAAACAACAGAATGGTGGTTGTCCTTGTGGTGTTCCTGTAAGCAGGCAAACAAATATAGGGTATCCCCCAGAATGGGGCACCCTTTTTGCTGTTGGCGTCCCCTCAAAACCCACCAAAACGGGGGACCCTCAAAATAGGCAGAGCCATGGCCATAGACCTTCCCCAAAAAGCCAGTCTTGAGCGAGTGAAAAACCCGCTTCCATTGGAAGGGTACCATTGCTCCAAGGGGGTCCGTTCCAATTAGGGGCTCCATTGGACCCACTAATTAACATGAAGCCTGACAGGGGGTCCCTTAATAACATTGTCTTCCAGGACCCCCCGAACGTCAGGTTCCAAGTTCATTTGTCGGAGGATAAAAGGATAAATCGACCGAATCACTTCCCTTAAGCTTTTGGCACACACAGAGCGCCATAGGGGGTTTCTAGCAGGGGCCCCTAGAAATGTTCCTCTTGGCTTCCCTTGAAAAACCAGGTCAAGAAGAGGGCCGTGCTTCAACAATCACATACACTCAGGAACCCTTTATTGGTGGCTTGGATTGATGTTTTGGGGATTTGAACACCAGTTCCTTTTGAAACCAAATGGGGCAAATACCCCCCAACGTCCGAACCAGCAAACCAAACAACTAGGGGGAAACACACACACACACACATACCCACTTTCATTCAGAGCCAAAATGCCCAGATCCTCCAGCGGTACGGGGACCACGTTGGAGCCCTCCATGATCTGCGACTGCGGTGCCAAAAATGATTGAAGTCGGGTGCTCCAGTTTTTGGCTCATTTCCCAAGTGGATGGGCTAAACAAGTCCAAGCTTCGTGCTTGCAACTTAACTGGTCTTGCTGAAAGTATCAAGTCCGGAAACTCTGAGATGGGGTTGCTTTAAAGGGAAACCGAATCAGGGTTGCTCCAAAGACACTGGCAGCGTAGACAATGGGCTTCTGTAAAGCGGGAAAGCAAAGACAACCAAGCCAAAACTTCTACCCCTTGTGGTTTGATCGACTTTATGAGGCATGGAGCAACCCTCTCAATTACGGCTTTCACCATTTAGGGATCCAACAATTGTGAGTCATCGCAAAACGCCTTCATATGTAGAGGAATCGCTCTTGGGGGACAACCCTTATTTGGGTTACCTGTTAATCTGCAGGGGAGTCATTGACACCCAAGCAGGCAAAGGGCGTCTTGATATCCGCATGGCTCCCAAGAACCTGCTGCCCAGCATTGGATTCTGGCGAAAAAGGATCAGCACCAAAACACGGATTCCTCTTGCAATCACGGGGGTCATTTTACGATTGTGGGCTGAGGATGCAGGTTCTGTCAAACAAAATACGAACCCTTTTGTGGTTTACCTAGCCAAAGCTGCTCCTCAACATGAACCGGAAAGACACGCATACAACTATGTTTTCAAATCATCGAATCCGGGGGCAATCCAAAGGCTGTCCACATAGCTTCTTTGGGCATCAATGAAGCCACAGTGCTTCTATTGTTTGTCACATTCCTGTGGCAGTGGTGCGATGTCTACGTACGCTTTCCATCTTTCACTCCAACATACCGAGGAGGCTCGCCGCAGGCTTGTATGACGCGTGAGGGTTTGAACGTCTGTCTGCGCAATGAACATTCGACAGTGAGCCTGGAGGGTATCAGTATAGCATGGTTGATCGTTTTCTGATATCTTTCGTTTTGGCGTGGACATCATATTCACACAACCTATGCCCGGTTGTTTGAAGGTTTTCGCTATCAAGTTGCTCTCATGTCAAGCGGATGCTTCGCAATGCCTAAGTTCGTGTTTCCATGTTGAACCATACCCAAACAGGCCATCTTGGATTGATAGTTGCCTGCTTTGGTTCAAGGGCCCTGCAAAATAGACGTGACATGCAGCTGACCTATTGAGTAGGCCATTGTCCGCCACCGTCGAAGCTAATGGTGTCATATATATATATATATTTATATATGTCATGTATACATTACACATTGCATGCGGGGAGCTTGCAAAATTGACAACAGCCCAGAGGCAGTTGCTCGATCATTACTTTCCTACAACCAACTAAAGCAAGGCCCCAAAAATATCGAGAACACCCCTGTAACAACTGGCAACCGGCTGCAGTTTCGCGGCTCACCGCGATGCAAACCCAGCGAGCCACAGGGGCAATTATGCGGTTTCGAGGGAACCTTCTTTCCCAGAAAAAAACCTGCAAACCAAAAGAAACAGCTTCTTGAAAACAAGGATAGATAAACTATTGAATCAAACGGAATCAACCCCTAGATCAGGCCGTGGCACGAGCAAACCCCGAACCAGGCATAAATTCCGCTCAGCAGAGGTGCTTCGCGAAGTTGGCTCAGCATCTTCCCTGAGCGCGGATGGGTTGCGGAGGAGGGGAGGGAGGGGGAAGGGGAGGAAGGTGAGGAGCAAGAGGGGAAGACGAGTTTGAGCAGAAGGGAACACTGTCACGCGCTTTAAGGCCAATGCAACTAATTGGGTTATGAAAAATGGTGGGGGGATTCCGAATGCGAAAAACCATAGTTGGACACCACTGCAACAAGGGAAACCCCTATCCTTTATTGACTCTACTGTATTGATCGAGGACTGATTTGCGAACAGCCCAGGCGAATACTTTCATCTCGAAAACACTCCAGAAGCTTCAAGGCCAGCTGCATGTCATTTTGGTAGATGTGGAAATCGAGCTCGGCGTCCCACAGCTTTCTTGTGAACACGTCAACCAGATTTGGACACCTGTGCCCTTTAAAGTTGGGAGGTCCAAAACTAGATAGACACACGTTCGATCTGGCCATGCGATTGTATGGGCCGTGGCTATGGTTCCGATCCGAGCAAATGACCATCTTTACCAACCCGAGGGTGGTTCGACCATGGCATGGGTCCATTTGTCATTGAATCCATCCCTTTTGCCGCCACTAAGTGGACAAACAATATTGGTTACGCTTCCTCCCACTAACATGGCATCTGAGGGAGGGTATTGGAAAAATCATTTCCCTTTTTAAGAGAACCTCTGTAAGGTGCCATGTCAGTGGGAGAAAGGGTATTCTGCAGAATTGACAAAATCCACCACGCCCAAACATCATAATGATCCAGTGCGAGAAACCCCTACCAAGAAAGCAACAAACTAAAATGAAACCAACTTGGTTGCTGTTGACCCCTCTGCAAAAAGCTTACCTTTTTGTGGGTCTGGAAAATCCGACCTGGTTCAACTAAAAGGTTAAAGTCCAAAGATCCGTTGCCAAATAGCCATAAAGCCAGCTATTTGGAGAACCCCCCCCCCCTGGGCCCCTCCCCCTGCGGTGGATTACGCGCACGATCGATTCAACGCCTGCCTTGAGCGGCGAAGTGATTATCCACATGGCGCAGCAGCTGCTTCAGCTGGCGCTCCAATTCCTCCCGAGAGCCATGAAAAGGCAGGCCCACAAAACCTTTGGGGGCTCTAGCTTTGGAACTCTTGGGGATACCTGGCCTTGTTCATTATTATTGCTATTTTTATGATCCTTATTATTAATTGTTTTGAGGTACCTTTTGGGATTGAAAGGAAAACCAAAGCAAAACACATTGTTTGTTGGTATTGCCCAACATCTGAAAGCTGCGGGGTCCTTGCCCAACTAGGTTCCGGAGTGATTGCGAGCAAATTTGTTTTCGGGGTTGCTGTCCGGGGATACCAGCCCAGCTTATGATTTGTGGAGGTTCTCAAGACTGGATTGGAGGTCCCCAAAACTACATGTCATCAAGAATAGCATCATGCTATTTGCAGAAGGGCAATCCTAAAGGCTGACATTTCGTGAGTGGCCAGCAATCGTTCTTGTCTTGACCAAAAGACAGTGAGCAGCAAATGTCGATGTTTGTGGACCTTTCATTCCTAAACATCTTGCGACGGATTGCGACAGTGTCATGCTAGCCTAGTTGCCCAAGCAGCAAATGTGGCAAAACAAGCTGGCACAGCGGGTCTTGGCAATAGGCAAAGATAAGAATAGTACTCTGGTGTTAGACCAAAACTTAGCCTCTATCTCTGTGGAGGTTAAAACCGGCCAATAGTCATGTAACAAACCACGTCACTCTTCATGTAAGGATTCATGTAAACAAAAACAGGCCTTAAAGAAACACGTAAAAGATCATGTAAAGTGTGCCTCAGTGTTGGAAGCTGGAAGCTGCATCATTTGCCATGTAACAGGCCTGAACAGACATGAAAGGCGCACAATCAGACAAGCCCATGGCAAAACATTGGCAAAAAGAAGGTAAGGCTCCAACGCGCCCCTCCCATCTCCATAACAAGCGCCCAAGGTGTTGATTGAATGATAATTTGTTAAATCCTTAGCAGCTACCGTGCGAATGTTAGGAGGCCAAACATCTTAGGTCTTAAACACGTGGTTGGTAAGCCTAAGCATGCGTGAGCAGAAGCAAGGGCAATTCCTGAGCATGCTGTTGCAATCTTCGGAATGGTTCCTAGGTACGCAGCTCCAATGTCTCCGAACGGTTCAGAACAGTTCAGGGTATGATGTTGCAATCCCTCCTGAACGGTTCAGCACGGTTCAGGGCATGCTGCTTGCAATTCTTCCAGAACGGTTCAGAACGGTTCAGGGTATGCTGCTGCCATGACTGCTGAACGGTTCAGAACGGTTCATAGTATGATGCTGCAATCCCTCCTGAACCGTTCAGAACGGTTCCTGGGAAGCTTGAGTGACGAACGGTTCAGAACGGTTCAGAACGGTTCTGAACTATACGCCTGCTCTGTGCGCTGCTTGCTAGATGGGCTCCAGAACGGCTCAGAACGGTTCAGGGGCATGGGTTCCAATGCCTCCGGAACGGTTCAGAACGATTCAGGGGCACGCGTTCCACTGCTTTCGGAACGGTTCAGAACGGTTCAGGGGCATGCAGTTTGGTTGCCACCGTTCCTCGGAACGGTTCGCGAGCACGCGGCTGGCGGTTCCTAGTCCTAGGTAAAAGGTCAGGCCGGCATCGGAACATCGAAAGCGATCCGAAATCTCGAAGCACAAAAAGGCAAAGACTTGTGTGAAATTTACGCGAAAATTTACGCAACCATTTACGCAGAAAAAGGCTGGCTGAACCGTTCTGAACCGTTCAGGGGACACATTTTGAGCATGGAGGTCCGTCCGCAGAACTTGCGTGCACATGTGACAGCATCGATCGCTCCTCTTTTCCGGCCTTTGCTCAACTGGGTTTCTGGAATCGGTTCTTGGATTCCCTGGGTCTTGCGGACAAACGAGGCGAAGCCGCGGCAAAGAGAAAAAAACAAAAAACAACGCGCGACAGTACCACAACGCGGCAAGCAAAGCTGCAAGAAGGCAAGGCTTAAAATCGTCCTTTGCAACTCCTGACTGGTTGGGTCAGCGGCCACGCGGAGACAACCTCGTAGAGTCGTGTGTGCATGTGTGTTTGTGTGTGTGTGTGTGGGTGGTGTCTGTGTGTCTGTGCGCCAGGTGCATGTTAGGAATATAGACGTTAATCTTGATGTTCTTCAAGATTGGCCCTCGCAAGGTCGCCCAACAAAAAGCTCACTAAGTCTTGATTGTTGGCAAGAGCCCTCAAAACATTCTTAATGTTGTTCACGCAGCTGACATAACCAATGACCGGACATACCGGACGTTCTTTGACAAGACGCAGTGTTCCTAGTCCTCGGTTCCTACAACATCTCCTTTCTCATGATCACTAAACACAAATTGACATGTATCTTGGCGGGGGTTCTGGCTGCCTATTAGCATGGCAACGCAACCCAAGCGCAAGCATGGGCGCACGCGTTTTTGCGTCCGGAGCTTTTTGGCTTTGCCAACGCGACACATGCTCGCGAGCAAAAACTGTGGCTCGCAGCTACCAGTACGCATGAACATTCATGTCAAAGTTGTCGCGGCTCTTCCAATGGTTCATGACTCATGACGCTTTGCCTTCCTTCAGTGATATGAGCAGGTTAAATTCGCGAAGGGGAAGATTCTCGCCAATACACATCCCTGTCCATGAGGGACACTAAGTCCAGCTCACGCAGGGTCACTCAAGATCGGGCAAGCGAAAATGAATTACAACTAATTTACCTCACTATTTACCATATTATTTACGGACTCTTCCTGTTAAGGGCCAGGCCAACCAGAAAGCTTGATTTATTTACGTGATTGTTTACGCTTTTATTTTCGGGTACGGCGAAAACGACAGACCCCCCTGTTTATAGAGGCTAAGTTTTGGTTTAACTCTGGTGTTTTATTGTCACCCTTCATCTCATTGTGGTTGTGGCCTTATTTTAATTGCTTAAAGCTTGGGTGATAGTCAAGCCGATCCCCCCCCAGCACATTCCCCCAATACAATACATTGAGAACGTCTGTTGTAATTCAATACAGCAAGCAGTTTTAATGCCGTCATTATCGACAACACATTCAAACATATTCAATACATGCCATGAAACTGGGTGGAAAGCGCCTAAATCCAAGCCAATGACAAGACAGCTGCGTGTTACAACCCTGACTCGCAAATGGTTGGTGACTCCCTGCCAAAAGGTTGGCTTTATCATTACTTGATATTCCTGTTCAAAACCCAAGCAGGTGAACCGACCCGCTCGTCCACTATAACAAGTCTAGGTGACAAACAAAAGGAAAGTCCCGGAATGGGAAAACTACGGCAAATGTTTGATGCCAGGACGGGAATTGGCTGGGACCGGGTCCATGAAAGTACCATCCTCAAAATTACCGTCTAAATGGTGTGAAGGCAAGCCGCGCCCGAAGTAATCTTAAGAACCCAAGATGCTCACTTCAGGGACCGAGCGGAACTCACTTGGAACTCTAAAAATGCCACGCCACACCTGGTTGGTGACGGCATCGCCGGCGGCGCGCGATGGCATCATGGATGCCAGCAAGCTTGGACTGTTTAACCCCGACTTAGCAAAAACTCAGCAAACCATCAAAGCCGAGCTTGGCTTCTTCGCCTTTGGTTTCTTCCCCAAAAAGCTGCAAGGGACATGGCCAATCCTGGGTTGGGGCTGGAGAGACGCCTCCGAAATGTTAAGTGGATTCGTTCGGAACCCTGCAACATGCCCACTAGGAAAACATGTTAAGAATGGACCCTTCACTAGCCATCACCATGTTTGAAGTGCTCCAACTACTCAAACTCAGAGCCGTTCGAAGCTGGCCAAGCAAAACCAATAGATACCACAGGCCCAAAGCGAACTCTGCTTTTTTAACAGAAGTAAGAACATGGCGGTCGCAAGAGATGCATAGGCCTAGCTGTCTTAACTAGGCACAACGTGGAGTGAGTAATTAATGGGCTCGTCGATGCAGTTTCGTTGTGCTCAGCAATCTCCGAACAACTGGGCAAGTTTTGTGTGCCTCGAAGGCTCTACAGTAAGACTCACCACCCAAATTTTAGCTGCACTTGTCAAAGCATATCAAGCTGCTGTGGGCAGTCCATGAATTCCACGAGACCCCTTCCACCACCGCGCTCAACGGGCTGAACCATACATCAGCAGCCACAACTTCTGTTCAAACAACCCATCGGACGCGTCCCTAGCACAAGATCCTGTGGAATTACTTCACAATCTAACAAATTGTTTGTGGAGTCAAACGCTCGATCAACGGCACATCCAAGGATTAATCCAACCAAAGCACAGCATAGTGGTGTGCGGCGCCGGGGTCCCTATATTTCCCCCTTTAAACATCACCCACCAAAAGAGGCCTTTCAAGCATGCGATGTGACCATCCCAAAAGGGAAGTATAGGTGAAAGTTATTGGCTTGGACCTTTGGTGGACATCATGTCGGGGGAGATTCATGTCCACCAACCATTTGGGAAGGCATTCCCCGTTAAATGTGCAAGGCATTTGGTCCTTGAGGCCACCCGGTGTTGAGAAGGCAAACAAAGCAACCAGCCTCTCATATCTGAGAGATAAACCCGTCGGCTCAAACATCCATGAGTAAGTCATGGTGGCAGGACTGTCAGGGCGCCTTGCCTGTTTGTCTGTGACTGCTGGGGCAACTCCAACTTTGAACACCTCAAGTTGTCCGACAAGTGCTCACATCCCGACTTCCTGTGCAAGACGGCTTATGTCACAATTCTACCCCCTGATTTCGGGAAAAAACCATCATGTCATGAAGGTACTCATGTCATGAAGCTACCTCTGTCAAGGAGAACAAAGGGGCAAATGGCCTCACTTTGCTATACAGTTTGAAAGAAACATTCAAACATGCTTTCATGATGCCCACCAAAAGGCTACAGTTCATAGTTCCCTTTCCTTTGTTTGAGGGCACCCACCTTTTTGGATGGTTGGAAAGGGACGCTAAAAATAGGACCCCGAACGCCTGTCATCCGCCCATTTTGAATTTCGTAGTCCGGAGGGGCTTGGCATATCTTTGACAGCCAAGCACGCTGCTTTTATGCGTCGATTCCATCACTGCAGCTTTCAGCCAGTGGAAGGAACAGGCTGGACATTACGCTCCAAATGAACATGGATTGGAACCCCAAAGCCATTGAATGTTTGAGGAATCTCCGCTTGGGAGATCATCTGATCCCCCTTTTGGGCTCAACGCCCGGGAGTATATACCCAGGTGCGGAAGCAGTGGAGTTCTGCGACGTGCATTCTGCGCGCCCAAACATTTGCTCACTGGCCTTTTTTTGGACCATCGCTACCGATACATCAGCGAACCAGCGAGCAAATCCCTAAGGCAATTGCCAACGATTATGTGTGTCTCAAAAAAGAAACTGGCCCCCTTTTTGCTATTTGGTTTTAAAAGGGAACCAAAAGGACACCTACCTGGAAATAGGGCCCCTTTTTGGATAGCTTAAAGACACCCAACAGAAACCACCTGGAGGAATTTGTCCCCCCCACTTTTTTGAGACACGGTCGTTGGACTTCGCATTAGCCCTAAAGCCACCGGCTATGAGTTTGTCTCGACGGGTCGCCTTGTGTTTCCCTTTGCCACAAACGGGGTCCCCTAAAAGAAACACACCCTTATCCGGACCAGCCTTTGAATCTATTCGTAGTTCCCTCTCACAGAAACTGGTAACATAATAGTTGTTAGCGCACAATGCAAAACTCGGCGGCCACAAGCCGTGCGTCAGGCGCCTTCGCTCGTGTCTCAAACAAAGAACCTCTCAGGTCGTAGTGACTGAGCGGCCAAGTCCCGCACCAGCCTGGCCACCACAACTTGTAGGCGTCTGTTTCGGAGCAGTGGGGCGTACCCGACGTTTTAAGACACACCTATTTTAGAAAATGGAAACCCATGCGTGCCACGGCCGAATAACAGATAGAATGATTACAATTGTGACCCAGCCATATCCGCCAACAACAGCCTTGTTGGATACAAGAAATCCTTACTTCTTGACCTGTTACCCCAGTTTCTGGCTTTGGGGTGGCGGGGGGGGTGGCCACGTACCACCTGGTGAAAAATGGGTGTCCGGCACACGGCAGTTCCCCCTGTTGCATCCTCAGCAGCACCAGCGCAACATCGGCATTATCTGGATGACATTCTGCAACAAGGAGTACAGAGGGTTAAACGATTGGCGCCTATTCGTGTCTTGTGGCATCCGAGATGCCAAGCCGTTACGATGTTTAGATGTTCATACTGAAATATTTATGGCGTAAAATCTGACAAACTTAAGGGTTAAAAGCTGACAATCTTAGCGGCTTAACATGTTACAATCCGCCGATCCTCTGCCTCCCGTCCTAGCCCTTGCAGAGGGACTGGCAGGGATTTAACTGGAATGAAGTGATTGGAATCCTGATGATTTTTCTCCCCGCAAAAACGCAGCCGACAACACAAAAAGTTGAACAGTGAATTTTTTGGTGGTTCGGGGCCTATACACTACTTGCACGCCTACGCGAAGGCCTACGCAAGCCTACGCGGCCTGTGAGGGGTGCTTACGCGAGCACAAGTCAGCTTCCAGGTGCCTACGCGGATGCCTGCGCGGGCAAATGTTGAGTTCAAAGTGTCGAAGTGCACTGTGGCAGCTCCAGTTGGAAAATCGCAACTTTTCAGTGCAAGTGCAGTTTTGGCAGCTCCGGCTCTAAGATCAGAAATACAGTACAAGTGAGAATCCCACATCTGTCAACAAGGATCTGGCCGCTAGAAAAGGCCTACGTATCCACAATGCCTTGAAAGCCTACGCGAAGCGCTGAAGCCTACGCAAGCCTACGCCCCCAACCAGGACTGCCTCCGCAAAGTACATGCAGTTCCCTTTTCGCGTAAACCCTTTCGTTTGACTGCTGGGCCAATCTGGCTCGTAGGACCGGTCCCGGGAGGACCAGGTTTTGGGACCAGCCTTTCCAGGACAGTCCTGGGCCCTGCTCAGGGGAGGAGGTGGAGGCCTGCCGGCCTAGCCGTGCAGTGTCGCTGAAAGGGCCCTTGGCTTTGCCTTCCGACTGACGGTCGCTGCCGCCGACCCCTCCCATCGTCTGCATGTCCAGCGCCGTTGGTGCATCACCATCACCGCCCGAGCGGCCATTGGAGCTCAGTTGGGAGAAGGCTCAAAACACTGCAAATATGCAGCAACCCGGCTGCATTGCCAGCATCGCCGACGCTTTCGAACGCCCCTGTGTTTCGCGCATCGCCTGCATCCCTTGCATCGCCCGCGTTTGGGGCCATTCTTCCCCAAACCATTGCTGATGACGCACGGCGCGCTCACGCGCAGGCGTGCATGCGTGCGTGAGTGCGCACGTACGTGCGTGCTGCGTGCGTGCGCCGGGGGTGGGTGTGCGGGTGGGTGGGTTGGTGGGTGGGTGTGGGTGGGTGGGTGGGGTGGGTGGGTGGGTGGGTGCGTGGGTGTGGGTGGGTGAGTCGGTGTGGGTGGGTGGGGTGTCGCGCTCTAGAGCTCCCATCCCATCCATCCACCCACCCACCCACCCACCCACCACCACCCACCCATCCACCCATCCATCCATCCATCCATCCATCCATCCATCCATCCATCCATCCATCCATCCATCCATCCATCCATCCATCCATCCATCCATCCATCCATCCATCCATCCATCCATCCATCCATCCATCCATCCATCCATCCATTCCGCGCGGCGGACATGCGAGGCCGGCTCGCGGAGCACGCAATTATGAATATCTTAAAGTCTGAACGTCTTAATGACTTAAGCTATTAACATCTTAAAGGTGTAAAATCAAAAACTAATGACTGAACACCTAAAACCCTTAGTGGCTTTACGTGTTATAATATTAATGGCTGAAAGCCTGAAAACCTAAATGGAAAATCCCAAATGGCTCACAATCTTAACATCCTTGTAGATTTACGGGCTAGCATCTTCGCTTAAAATCTTAAAATAGTAATGGCTTAACATCTTCAAATCATAATGGCTTCAAACGTTAATGGAGTGAAGTCCTAATGTCTTGGTGGCTCAACGTGTTAATATCTTGCTGGCTTAAAATCTCACTGGCCTAAAATCTAAAAAGTCGGAATAGCTGAACATATTCATGGCCGAACATCTTAAAATGTTAATGGCTGATTCAACTCTGAAAAACTATGAATGGCTCATAATCTTAAAAATGTGTGGCTTAACGTGTTAACATCTTAATGGCTTAACACCTTTAAACAAAATAATGGCTTAACATCTTCAAATCTTAATGGCTTCAAACACCTTAGAATCTTGAAGGAGTAACACATTAAATTCTTAGGGGCTTAACGTGTTGCAATATTCATGGCTTAGAGTCTTAACATCTCAATGGCGTACAATATTTAAATCTTAAGGGCTTCAGTTCTTAGAATCTCCATGGCTTAAACATATTACAGGCTTACAATCTAAACAAAAAAACGTAATGGCAAAAACATCTTAAAATTCTAGTGGCGTAAGAACAATGCACGAGTTAGCAATCGCTGATCTTGCACGTAAGCCTTTCCAAAGACAAAATGTTCAAAGGGACAATTCGAAAGGGAAAG